CCAAACCACCCTACAAAAAAGGAAAAAATATGTATTCCTGACTGAAGAACTAAAACAACTAAATATAAGATTTCGTTGGGAGAGAACGGAGGGGATAATGGTCACATACAGAGGAGAACGGTTTTGGTTGACGTCAGAAGAAAAGGCACAAGATTTCTACAAAAGACTTAAAAAAGAAACAGGACAAAAACAAGGAGTCAAGCGAGCAAGATTAACATCACCGGGAGGTACACCACAGGAAGAAGAGCCGACGGGGTGGGAGCCAGACGCTAAGGAGGCAAGAGTTAAGAATGACAACAAAACTGAAGACAGAGATGGAGTGGAACCTTAAATGTATAACTAACAACATTAATGGGCTAAACTCCCCCAACAAGAGAAGGAGGATCTTTAATTACATTAAAAAAGGGAATTACGACCTAATATCACTCCAGGAGACACACATCTCCCAAAAACATGTGGCACACCTCACCCAAAAAGGGTTACAGATGTTTTACTCGTCAGCAGCTGAGAAAAAAAGAGGTGTTGTGCTATATGTAAAAGACTCAATACCAGCAAGACAAGTTTTTAAAGACACAGAGGGTAGAATGATTGGGGTGATGGTGGAAAAAGCGGGGTGGAAAGGATTGTTTTGTAACATATACGCCCCAAATGGTGCGAAAAATAAATTTGTTAATAAACTTAAAAACCTTTTAATGGAACAGGAATATGATGATCTGGTCTTATTGGGGGACTTCAACGGCGTCTTAGACCCTAACCTAGATAAAAGCCCAAGAGAAAAAGGAACGAAGAAAGATAGAGGAGGGAAACTCACGGACTCTTTTATAAAGATACAAACTGACCTGGGGCTACAGGACATCTGGAGAACTCATAATAAGAACGCAAGGGATTATACATTCTATTCCGATAGACATGAAAGATGGTCTAGAATAGATATGGCCTGGGCCACAAAAACACTAGTAGGAAAAATTAGTAAAATACAAATCTTACCGAGACATCATTCAGACCACTGCCCCATAGAGATCGTCATAAATCAAAAAAGCAAAAGGAAAAATTGGAGGCTAAATGAAACTCTATTGAGAACCGAGGAAGATATCAAGAGTAATATAGAGATACTAACAGAATTTTTCAAACTAAACAACACAGATAACATGTCAATAAATACCATTTGGGATGCCAGTAAGGCTTACATGAGAGGTATATTCATCCAGCAAAGCAGTAGAAAATTTAAACAAAAAAAGCAAAAGGAGAAAGAGATAAATGACAGAATAGAAGAGATCGAGAAACAATTCAAAAAACACCCAAAAAATGAGAAATTCAAATTAGAATTAAAACTATTGAATAAACAAAAAGAACACTTAGAGCTAGACCAAATGGCAAGAAACCTGTTATTTGTAAGACAAGATTTCTTCCAAAATGCAAATAAAGTGGGGAGATGGCTCTCGAGAAGAATCAAAAAGAAAAAATGCGCACAAAATATCACCCAAATTAGGGTAGGAGACAAGACACTTGTAAAAAACGAAGAAATAATAGCCCAGTTTTATAAATTCTATAAGACCCTATATAAGAAAGATTCGATAAATAGAGAGAAGATCAACGAATTTTTGGGGAAACAAAACATAGAGAGGTTGACAGAAGCTCAGAGAGAGACCCTAAATAAAAATATCACAACAGTAGAGGTGGAAAGAGCGATCAAGAGATTGGATATCAGAAAAACGCCAGGACCAGATGGGATGTCAATGCTATACTACAAAAAATTAAAAGATATCATCATTCCAAACCTGAGATCAGTCATGAATGAAATTCTACAAACAGGAAATATGCCCAACTCCTGGAAAGAGGCTAATTTAACTATGATTCACAAAGAAGGTACGGATCCTCTCAGCGTAAAAAACTTCAGACCAATATCACTTCTAAATAGTGATTACAAAATATTCACGACAATATTAGCAGATAGACTGAAAGGGTTCCTTAATACATGGATAAAAGAAGACCAGACGGGCTTCCTACCAAATAGGAAAATGAAAAACAATGTCAGAAACATCATAGACATTATAGAATATCATGAAGCCCATCCTCAAAAGGAACTGGCAATCCTATCTGTCGACGCAGAGAAGGCTTTCGACAACCTCAATTGGTCCTTCTTTAAATCAATATTAAGAGAGATGGATGTCGGATACAATTTTATGAATGCTATAGAAGCTATCTACACAGACCAGAAAGCCAAGATAAAAGTGAATGGATTGGACTCAGAAAACTTCGACGTCGGGAAAGGCACGAGGCAGGGCTGTCCCTTGTCGCCACTGATTTTCATCCTGGCGCTCGAAATTCTCCTAAACGAGATTAGAGAAGAAGACACACTGAAGGGAGTAAACATACAGAAAGAGTCTTTTAAAATCAAAGCATTCGCCGATGATCTGATCTGCACCATACAAGATCCCCTAAATAACATCACAAAGTGGATAGATAAGATAGAAAAATTTGGCGAAGTCTCAGGATTTAAAATCAATAAACTAAAATCTAATATACTCACAAAAAACATCTCCAAAGAAAGAAGGGAGAAGCTCAGGGAACTTTCAGGCCTACAAATAACATCTAAAATTAAGTACCTAGGTATTTTTATAACAGCAAAAAATTCCCAATTATTACAAAACAACTATGAAGTGAAATGGAGGGAAATACAGAAAGACCTGAAAGATTGGCAACCCATGAAGCTATCACTACTGGGTAGAATTTCAGTAGTTAAATCCAATATTCTCCCAAAGATGTTACATCTGTTCCAGAACCTCCCTATAATTAGAAAGAAACAACTTTTCACGGATTGGCATAAGGATATTTCAAAGTTTGTGTGGAACAACAAGAAACCTAGAATAAATCTGACGAACATGACAGACGATAGAAGAAGAGGAGGATTAGGGTTGCCAAATCTAAAACTATATTACGAAGCTTGTTGTATGGAGTGGATTACAGACTGGATCTTACTAAAAAACAAAAAACTATTGACTTTAGAAGGCCACGATTTGAGAACTGGGTGGCACGCCTATCTATGGCTCAATAAGGCAAAAGTGGAAAAGAATTTTCGTAATCACTTCATTCGATCAGCCTTATTAAAAGTGTGGGACCAGTATAGAGAGAGGATGTATCCCAAGACACCACTCTGGGTCTCTCCCCTTGAGGCGCACCAAAGAAGGGAGCTTGGGTGGAGCTCATGGCCTACATATAAAGAATTACTACATAGAGAAAGAAAGGAAATCAGATTTAAGACCCTTGATGAACTAAAAACACAGTACACTAACATCACATGGTTACAACATTGGCAACTGAAAGAGTATTTCAGGAAAGATAGTCAACTAGGTTTTATGGAAAACCCAACAGTTTGGGATAGACTTCTGGATTCCCCCAAAAAATACATTACAAAAACTTACAAAATATTATTAGAATGGTCCACGGAGGAAGAGCGGGTTAAAGAATATATGATTAATTGGGCTAGGTTAATAGGACGATCCATCACCCTTGACGAATGGAGTTTAATATGGAATAGCAAAACAAACTACTCCTACTCCTACCACCTGAAAGAACATTGGGTGAAGATGACGCATCAGTGGTATCTAACCCCGGCCAAGATTGCAAAGTACTCCAAACAGATGTGCTACTCGTGTTGGAAATGTGGGGAACAGAAGGGGACCTATCGACATATGTGGTGGTCCTGTGGAAAAGTAAACAACTTCTGGAAACTAATACATGAGAACTGCCAGAAATTATTAAAGAAAACTATCCCCTTTAGACCGGAATGTTTCTTATTAGGACTAACAGGAGGGATGGGAAACAAGGAGACAGAAAAACTGTTCACCCATTTAATAACAGCAGCCCGTTTGTTGCTAGCCAAGGTCTGGAGACAAAAACAAATACCAACGGAAGAAGAATGGATAGAGAAAGTGTTAGATATAATGAACGTAGATCACCTAACATATATCCTGGCAGCTTCCCGTAACATACCTGTATCTCCAACGAACTGGTTCCCGGTCAGAGAATGGCTCAGGGGAAAAAAAACAATAAAATTGCTAACGTTTTAAAAACAAGACATAGTCTCTAGATAGGAAGCGAAGAACACTAGAAACATCCCAAGAATACCAATATACATAGTAAAGTAAATAAAAGAAACTGATCTGCAGAAAGGTGATGAATCATCCATATTTGTGTGGTAAACAATTAAATGAGAAGATATAGTAAGAAAAGATAGGGCTAATCAACAAGAAGATTATATGTAAGTTGAATGCGATAATGAAAGAATAATGGAAGAATGTAAAAGAAAGAAACTCTATATCGAGATGCTGTAGTAGAGAGAGAAGGAAGTCTAACTGTGGCTACAAACCACTTGTTTTTAAATATAAGTGTAGTTTGTGTAATGTGTAACGTGTATAATGTGCCATGTAGTAGGGACTCCATATTAGATAGATAGTTAGAATGCTTTAGTTTATAGTTTGAATGTTATAATATCGACGAAGAAATGAAACGAATTTTGTATGGTCTTTTATTGTCTTTATATGTTGTAATAAAATTAAATAAAAAAAAAAAAAAAAAAAAGATAAAATGATAAAAACTCAGGATGAGACAGAAATGAAACAGAAATATTTGTGAGGGAGAAACTCATTGGAAGCGGAGTAGTGGAGACAGGCCTTCAAACAGGCAAGAGGAAGTACAGTATGGGGACAAACATTTTGAGGGGAGTGAACAAAAAGAGATGTAAAGTCACTCTCCAAAGGCGCAACGAAAGAGCCAGGTTTTGAGATCCTTCTTGAAGGTAGCTAGAGTATGGGCTTGCCTAATCTCACCAGGCAATTAATTCCAGAGTCGGGGGGCCACAGAGGAGAAGGCTCTCTCCCTCGTTCCCACTCATTTAAGCAAAGATATGCATGATGATATGTCTTAAAAACTGTCATACGTTCTCCATAAGAATCAGTATATTCCTGTAATAAGGATCTTCAAAAACCAAATGTATTTACCTTGTGAATTTTGTAGATTATATCAGGCTGCGTAACACTCAACAGATCATTGTTTCCTTTTAGTGGTTTCAAATGGTCCTTAAATTCTTGTCCCTGGAAATCTTCTTCTGTCAAGGTTTGTTGCTGGATCATGGTCCCCATGCCTCCATCCAAAACCATAATGCGCTCTCGCAAAATGGATTCAATTTCATCTTTCAGGGTTTTCTTGGTAGCTGTGTTAGGAATAAAGTCAGGTTCTCAGAAATTTGCATTCAAACATTATCTTCTCCAAACACCTACTTTAACTAATTGCACTCTGCATATAAAAATATATATCAAAGTATCTATTCAATCATGAGTAAAGCCGCTGTACCCATCACATCCTGAAGATGTAAGACTTGCTTCCATAATGGCAGCTATACTGAACATCCAGAGTAGAGAGCAAATAAGAATCTCTCCTAGCCAAATTGTTTGCTGAAACTCTAGTTGAATTTTCTCAGCCTTCCTAATGCCGCAACCCCTTAATACAGTTCTTCATGTTGTGATGACCCCCAACTATAAAATTATTTTCCTTGCTACGTCATAACTGTAATTTTGCTACTACAGTATTATGAATTGTAATCTGATATGCAGGATGAATTTTCATTCATTGGACCAAATTTGGCACAAATACCTGATATGCCCAAATTTGAATACTGGTGGAGTTGTGGGGGATTGATTTTGTCATTTGGGAGCTGTAGTTGCAGGGATTTATAGTTCACTTACAATCAAAGAGGATTCTCAACTCCACCAACAATTGAACTGAACCAAAATTGGCACATAGAACTCCCATGATCAACAGAAAATACTGGAAGGGTTTAGTGGACATTGACCTTGAATTTTGGAATTGTAGTTCGCCTACATCCAGAGAACATTGAGATAAATGTTGACCAAACTTGACATGAATACCCAATATGCCCAAATATGAACACTAGTGGAATTTGAGGGAAATCTATCTTGACATTTGGGAGTTGTAGTTGCTGGGATTTATAGTTCATCTACAATCAAAGAGCATTCTGAACCCCACCAATGATAGAATTGGGACAAACTTCGAACAGAGAACCCCCATGCCTTGAAGGGACTCTCTGGCGTGAGCCTCCCTCCAGCCTCGCATGCTCTCCCTTTCCAGCACAGGCGCCCCATGCTTCCATGCACCAAGTAAGCCTGCTCTCCCCTTCCCTGCCTGGAAGTCTCAGAACCAGCCCCCCCCCCTTTGCCAAGAGGCCAGCTGAGAGGCCGGCCAATCAAAGTGAAGGAGGGCTTTTGGGGGGAGAATTCGCTGTATGTTTCTGATAAGGAAGAGAAGGACAGGAGGACAGATCTTCAGCCTTCTCTACCAAAGGAATTCCTAAGACCAACAGAAATGTATGTTTTCAGATGGTCTTTGGCGACCCCTCTGAAATCCTCTCCCGACTCCCCCAGGGGTCCCAACCCCCATGTTGAGAAACACTGCTCTAGTTGATAAATGTCCATGAGAAGAAATGTACATAAATATAATAGCAGCACACCTAGCAGTTCGAAAACATGCAAATGTGAGTAGATCAATAGGTACTGCTCCGGCAGGAAGATAACAGCGCTCCATGCAGTCATGCCGGCCACATGACCTTGGAGGTGTCTATGGACAACACCGGCTCTTCGGCTTATAAATGGAGATAAGCACCACACCCCAGAGTCGGACACAACTGGACTTCATGGCAGGGGAAAACCATTACCTATTCAGCAATATTTTATCTTATTTTTCACTGCCTTCCTACAAAACCACTCAAACCTAGTAGCCCACTGTGAAGAATTAGCACAACTTTTTCAGATAAAATTGCTTAAATCCACTCCAGCTGGGATGCTGTAGCTAATACAGGTCCAGTGGATGTAACCCTGGCTCCTGCTTGCCTCATGTTATTCTGTCTCTGTTTGTTCAGCCTGGGGATGTAAACAAAGTCCAAGGAGCGGTGAGAATCACCACATGCACACTAGACCCTTGCCCTAGCTTTAAAAAACAGCCCAAGAGAGACTTGCTGAATTGGTGGAGAGAAATGGGAATGCCTCACTGCATAATCCTGTTTAAAAGAAAAGCAATCTTTACTGGAAAAGAAAACCAAAGATAATGACCAAGTTTAGAAAGTGAAGTAGGAGCTGGACTCAAAGAAATTGGTAGAAATAAGTCACCAAGAACAGGTGGCATCCCAATAGAGCTGTTGGCCCATACATGGAAAATATTCATATAGCGTATATACTCAAGTATAAGCCGACCCAAATATAAGCCGAGCCACTTAATTTTACCACAAAAAAACTGGGAAAACTGATTGACTTGAGTATAAGCCGAGGGTGAGAAATGCAGCAGCTATTGGTACATTTCAAAATGAAAATAGATACCAATAAAATGACATTGATAGAGGCATCAGTAGGTTAAATGTTTTTGAATATTGACATAAAACTGTAATTTAAGATAAACCTGCACCAACCCTTATTCCAACCTTCTTCAATGTAAATGTGCTTATATATCCTTCCAATAATAATAAAGAGAGTAAAATAAAAATGTCTATGTCACCACATCAAAAGTTCTTGGGCTGGCATAAAAGTAATGTTCACACAAACAAGTTAAAGCACATTAATGGGATTCAGAGTGGTTTCCAATATAATAATGGCAAAATTAAATGCCATATGTGTGTGTGTGTGTGTGTGTGTGTGTGTGTGTGTGTGTGTGTGTGTGAAAACCAAACCATTAGCATTTGATATAGATCAGTGAGGCTTTGATGACCAATCATGTTTTCACTTGGTGCCTAAAAGTGTTGGTACCAATTGCACCAAAGAGAGGCATTCCTTAACTAGGGTGCTACAACTAAAAAGGCCCTATTGTCGGTCCTCACATAAAATATTGCTGGTGGCAGACAAATAACCCCGCCCCGCCCCCAGCAGATCTCAGTCCTTAACAAGGACAAATATACATTCCCTGATGGATGGCATTTACCAGAGATACAATGTGGGACAATCCAAAACAAAATGACGTTGGATCCCAGCATACCACAGATCTGCACTGGAGGGCTTAGATATTCTTAGAGGCATCTTCTCTAGGGATTCCTAGGTCCTATGGCTAGCTTTCACAGAGAATTGCACATGAAGATCTAGCAAATGCCTAGAGCAGAACTTTCCAAAATTTTCATGTTAATGACACACTTTTTAGAAATACATTATTTTGTGACACAGTAAAAATCAGTTTTACTAGTAAACCCGAGGTTAAACCAACCCCTTGTAAGAGATTCTGACACATATATGAATTGTAATAATAAAATGTAAGGTGTGTTGGAAATGACAACTTTCTTCAAGCCTTTTCTACTCATATGTTTATCTATGATTCTATTGCTTACTGTTTCCTGTATGTATGTTCTGGTATGCAGCTTCCTTTACTCTATTGTTCTCTCTTCTCTCCCTTCTTGACTATAGGCCCTTCCACACAGCCCTATATCCCAGAATATCAAGGCAGAAAATCCCACAATATCTGCTTTGATTTGAGTTATCTGAATCCACACCTAGATAATGTGGGATTTTCTGCCTTGATATTCTGAGATATAAGTGTTGCACTCCAGAACAGAAACTATACCCTCTGACTTTAAAACACACCACATGTTGAGTGAAAAACCAATCCTTTTCACTGAAAGCTGAGTAAAATAGCCAGTAAAAAGAAATGCTTGTAAAAATACAAAAATTTCAAAATGTAAAAGATCAGTAAAATGGAGTAATTCAAAGTAATGTCCACAAAATATATAAAAACAATCCAAGGCAGTTTTTTATCCAGACAGGAATCAACAGGTTGCAAAGATAATCCAGAAGGTGCTAGATCACTGCAAAATGCTAAAAATCTCTATAAGAACAAGACACCTTGAATAGGATTTCCAAGGCACGTGAACATGATTTCCAAACGATGCCTTATCTAACAGGCTTTTCCTTGAAGCAAACCTTATATCCCAAAACCCAAAAATTGGTTTCGTTTTCCCCTACTCTTGCCGCTTATCTGACGAAGCCTTTCAGAGCAACGTAAACATTGAGTTTGTTGTCAATCCTGGTTGAACTCCAGCAGCCTATTTTTCAACTCCATTTCTGGCTGCTTATTAAAATTTCCAGGTGTCAGATTGTTTTCCAAACTCAAATCTTGAAAGCTCACAGAAAGAGGGAGTAAACCATCATCCTTAAGCCCAGCAGGAATATTCTCATGAGAAACTGCCCTTTGCACTGGGGCCTCTCTGTCATTGTCTGCATGAAAATCATTGACCAAACCATCTCCATCTTGCACCTCAGCACCATCATTTCCCTCATCATGTCCCACATCAAGAGCATCATGATCCTGAGCATCATGAAACACAAACACAGGCTGATTCCCAACAGTAAGGCTGTGTGGAAGGTCCCTAGGTGACCAGTTGGTAGTTGTTTTGTTACAAGAGAGATGCCCTGGCCGGCTGGCACAGGGAACCATCTCAAACATATTTGAAACTGGACTGATAAGTTTTGTACCTGTTTATGATGAACACGTGAAGGTTGTGAGTAAACCAAATACGTTATATTTATCCAAGTCTACTTCATTTTTGTCTCTTGAGTGCATGATATAAAACAAATTGTTTTATGGGGGGCTATATATTTATTATTATTATTATTATTATTATTATTATTATTATTTAATAATATATTTTGAACACTGAAAAACACTTCCAAAGCACTGCTGTTTTTATGCACCGGCAAATCTCTGTTTTCCTAACAGATCACAGATAACAGGTTATTCAGTCTAAAAATTGAAACCATTGCCTTGCATAATTATATCTGGTTGTATATCACAAGAGATGATTCAGCTCTAAAGGGTTTTTGGCTCTTCTCCGAAAACGTCATGCTTTTCTAAAAAGTTAGGATCTCCAAATGGTGTTTTCCAAAAGGTTATAAATACCATTTTCCAAAATGGGGACACAAAATATATCTCATGAAACCTTTAATTTATATTTCTAAAAGCATTAACTGTAGTTCTCAAATGGATATACAACCGTGTGACAATTTTTAAAAGGGTTGAATTCTCTAAACAGGAGAAAGCCTTCGATTCCCCAAGGCAACAGCAGAGATTAAGCGGATTTACTGGTAAACCTGAAGAGCCCTGAGCTAGTATTTACACAACTCTGGCCAGTCAACCTCCAGACTAAATGACAAAAACATTTTAAAAGTCTGCCAGACTTGTGCCTACAGGTCTTTGCAAACAATGTTTTGATTTTCCCCAAAAAGCATCACAGTAGTCTGTCAGCCTGAGCAACCGAAAGTAAACAGAAGAGTTTTGCACCTGGGTTACTGGAGAAATAGAAAACCAGACTGAGGCATCTCCTTCCACGGTCCAAGAAAAAGAAATACACACAAGGCCGGAGGTGAAATTAAAGGTGCCTTAACAGTAGTCTCTTGGCTTCTTGATATATGAAAAAGCAACTAATTTTATGTGGGGCTCCACTGAAATATCTAGAGATAGATAGATAGATAGATAGATAGATAGATAGATAGATAGATATGATTTAATCAATGGGCTGTATTGCATCATTTTATTCAGTCCTGTACAGCAGCCAACAAGAGTGTCATAGAAAAAACCAAAAAGGTCACAACCAGTGACTGCTTCTTCCATCTCCAAATTTGGTTCAAATAAAGGAAGCCCCGGCATTAATAGTAACAGGAGTCTCGAGGGGCATCCATACAGGAAAATCAATGCAGGTTGACATCTTCATTGTCATGATGTGGTATCAAGGGAGGTGTAGTTTGATGAGGCACAAGAAAGCCAAAGACCTTGAGTGCATCACATTGCGGAATTAATGCAGTTTGACACCACTTTAATTACTGTGACGTGGTATCTTGGGAGGTGTAGTCTGGCGAGCCACAAGCACAGAGAAGGCTAAAGACCTTGAGTGCATCTACACTATAGAACTAATGCAGTTTGACACCACTTTATTTACCATGGTTCAGTGCCATTGAACCCTGGTATCAGCACTATTTAGCTACAGGCATGGGCAAACTTCGGCCCTCCGGGTGTTTTGGACTTCAACTCCCACAATTCCTAACAGCCTATAGGCTGTTAGGATTTGTGGAAGTTGAAGTCCAAAACACCCGGAGGGCCGAAGTTTGCCCATGCCTCATTTAGCAGGAAAAAGTTAAAAGACCTTGTAAAACTACAAATCCCCAGATTCCATGTGTGGTGTCAGACTGTATTCATTCTGTAGGGTAGATGAACCCCCTTGCTAAACTACAACTCCAATGATTGCAAAGCAAAGCACTGAGACAGGGAAGTTAAAGTGGTGTCAAACTGCATCAGTCCCCCCTTCCTTGGGGAGGCTTGATACAACTTACGGTCTCTTCACACTAGAGAATGAATCCACTTTAAATCCAGTCTCTGTATCCTGCAGAATTTTGGGGTTTGTAGTTTAGGGAGGAGCCTTTAACAGCCTCACTAATCTACAAACCCCAGAATTCTGCAGGAGGCAGAATCTAGATTTAAAGTGGTTTCATTCTCTAGTGTGATGAGGTCCTTAAACATAAGGTATCCAAACTCAGGTTGTTTCTCAGTTATCAACTATTTTGGTTATCTGCAAATGGGAAAAAAGGTATATTTCACCTCCTACTCTGACAAAGTGATTTTTGTACCAAAAGAAACAAGATGACAACAAGAGTGCAACACATCCATGAATCCAAAATACTGAACTCCAGCCACTAAGAACATCCAGCCTCCAAAAACTGTGTCTTGCCCAACTCAGGGCAGCCAAACCAAACCAAATCCCAATTGGCAAAAAAAGACCTAATCACACTGGAGAATGAATCCTCTTTCAATATGGGTTTTGGAGTTTAGGAAGGCGCCTTTAACAGCCCCGCTAAACTACAAACCCCAGAATTCTGCAGGAGGCAGAAACCAGATTTGAAGCGGATTCATTGTCTAGTGTGATTAAGTAGAAAGTTGCATAATGAGACCCAGCACTGAAGGCGCGTCAGAGTTAAGACAGTTTGGCACCCCTTTGACAGCACCGCGGCTCAATGCGATGGAAATCGAGGGAGGTGCATCCGGGTGAGGCCCCAGCACTCTTGGGCAGAGGGGGATGAAGAGCTCGCAAAAACTACACCTCCCAGGATCCCCACCGCCTTGCCCAACTCCCGGAGAGTTTTCCTTTCCAGGCGGACGCACCGTTCTCTGCGGGGCTGCTCCTCCGCTCCGCTCTACCGGGGATGGTGGGAGACATCGTGCCGCGAGTGGGAGGCTCGGGCTCCCAAAAGAAGGCTGGCAGTGGCAGGCAGCCCCACGCGGAAAGAGAGGGAGGGAGGGAGGGAGGCGGGCCGAGGGGAGGCGGGGGCGCCTGCGTGCGCACCCGCGCGAATGCAAAGCGCGCCCTTAACACTTTCCTCCCCTGCGCCCTGCCTTCCTGCTCAGAAGCAGAGGCGAGGCGCAGCTGGCGGGGCGTCTCCATTGGCCTCCCCTCCTTCTGACTCAGGGGAGCCTCCCTTTCCCCCAAAGCGCCCCAGGACACGCGTCCAACCCATCTTTATACACCCAAGTGGAATGGACCTGCCCTGGAGAAGGGAGGGAAGAAGAAAGAGCACCTTCAAGAGGGGATGCCACGGTTCCTTTTCTTTCTTTCTGCCCCTCCTTTCCTCCTCTTTTGTTTCTATCACGCTTTTCTGGAATCAGTAGAGTTGGAAGAGACCACCAAAGCCAACCAGTTCAACTCCTCCTTCCATGCAGGAATGGCACAATCAAATCACCCCTGACAGATGGCCATCCAGCCTCTCTTTAAAAGCCTCCAAGAAAGGAACTTCCACCACACTCCGGGGCAGAGAGTTCCACTGTGGGAACAGCTCTAACAGGAAGTTTTTCCTAATGTTCAAAATTCCATATCACATCACAAGCTGAAAATCAAATGTTTAAAAGCAATGCTTTTGGGTTTAGAAAGATTAGCCACTTACAAGAAATGTTGCCCGGGGACGCCCGACTGTATTTACTCAGTCTTTGAGGAGACACTCTCCGTGTGCCCGAACTGCCCTGTTTGACATAAGAAGAAGAGAAGAAGAACTTGATTTTTCTATCGTGCCTCCATCTCCCCGAAGGGACTCGGGCTGGCTTACGTACGGCCAAGCCCAAGGCAACGTACAATTAAAAACAGAACAATAACATATTAAAGTAGCATAAAAACAGCATAAACAAACATCAAAAGCAACAACAAACTCCTTTTAGGAGGGAAGGGAGGGGGCCAATATGCAAAACTCGTTAAAGAATATGGTGGTCAATAAGGTGGATAGAAACGTATAGGAATAATAGCATAGAATCAAGAAATTAAACAGGATCAGTTCAGCTTAACTTAAAAATGTAGTAATGAAATACAGGAATTTGAATTCATGTCATGGTTAGAGACCATCTGTCAAATGCACAACGAAACATCCACGTCTTTCATTCCTTACAGAGTGTAGATAAGGAGGGTGCTAGCCTAATCTCCCTGGGGAGGGAGTTCCAGAGATGAGGAGCCACCAGCGAGAATGCCCTTTCTCTCGTCCCCAACAGCAGCACCTGAGACAGGGGCAGGAGCAAGAGAAGAGCATCCCCAGAAGATCTTAAGTCTGCCCATGCAAAGCAGCTCAACATAGCATTGAATGAAACATGCAGAATAATCACAGGATGTCTTAAACCTACACCTGTTGATAAACTCTACAAGCTAGCTGGCATTGCCTCCCTGAGAGCAATGCTAGGGGAAGTTGCTGCTAAACATGAGAGAAATAAGGTTGAACACTGTGAAAGCCATCCACTACATGGTTATCAGCCTCCTCCCAGTAGACTCAAATCAAGGAAAACTACCACTCCTCATGGTGTCCCCCCAGCAACAGCAGGAGAATCCCTCTGGGCAGCTAAACCAGGAAATGATGAAAGGCTATGGAAATGATTTATGAATAAGCCTAATGGAGCCTACAATTACAGAACTCGACAGGCCAACAGCCACCAGACTGGCTCTCTGTTTTACTAGACTCTAGTGTATTAATTTAATACTATTTATAATTATTGATTTTGATTTGTATTGATATGTATTTTATTGTATTTATGTGTAGGCATTGAATATGTGCCGGCTGGAAGCCGCCCTGAGTTCCCCCTTGTGGGTGAGAAGGGTGGGGTACAAATACCTGAAATAAAAATAAATAAACCCCAACTGGATTCCCCCCCCCCCCCCCACAAGGGTCTTCTTCCAGGAGCAAACCAAGAATTGCCAACTTGGAAGTCCCTGAACAGACTCAAAGGACAACCTGGCAAAATGGCACTACCGAAAAGAGTTCCACGCCTTGTATGACTGTGGAGCAGAACAGACAGCTCCGCATCTGTATGCTTGTCCACTATGCCCTGCCTCATGTACAGAGGAAGAATTGTTGGAGGCTACAGACAATGCCATTGCTGTTGCCCATTTTTGGTCAAAAGATATTTAACCGCCTGCGCTCCTTCTGTTTTTATCAGTTTTATACTAATTTATACAATGCTTTTGATACAAAATAAATAAATAAGCTGAAAATCTTTTCCTGTAATTTGGCATTGGGACTCATGGCAGCAAACAGTGAACATGATGCAATGCAATGCAAATTAAAAACAAAGCAATGGATTCAAACTACAGGAAAGGAGAATCCACCTGAACATTAGGAAGAACTTCCGGACTGAAAGAACTATTCAAACGCAAAACTCTCTGTTTCAGAGTGTGGTGGAAGCTCCTTTCTTGGAGGCTTTTAAACAGGCTGGATGGCCATCTGTCAGGGGTGTTTTGGTTGTGATTTTCCTCCATGGCATGGAATTGGACTAGATGGCCCATGTAGTCTCTTCCAACTCTGTGATTCTATGTATGTATATGTGTGTGTATCTTTTTTGTCATGACAATATTTAATTAAAATTTCAGTTAGAACTAGACAGGCCCTTCCACCAAATCCTATTCATTTGGCGTGGAGGGGCTTTCTAGTTTTATGTTGTGATGGGCTCCATGTGTTCAGGTCCTGAACCGATGCTTGGCAGCTGTGACGGTCTGGATTAGGGCGAACAAATTGGAATTGAATCCAGACAAGACAGACGTTCTCCTGGTCAGTTGCAAGGTGGAACAGGACATAGGGTTACAGCCTGTGTTGGACGGGGTTACACTCCCCCTGAGGACACAGGTTTGCAGCTTGGGAGCTCTCTTGGATTCATTGCTGAGCCTGGAACCTCACGTTTCAGAGGCAGCCAGGGGGGCTTTTGCGCAATTAAAACTTGTGCAACACTTGTGCCCATACCTTGGAAAGTCAGATGCTCTGGTTACATCCTGAATAGACTACTGCAACATGTTCTATGTGGGGTTGCCTTTGAAGACTGTTCAGAAGCTTCAAGTGGTCCAATGGGTGTACAGAGAGCACACAACTCCTCTGCTACGTCAGCTCCACTGGCTGCCAGTCTGCTACCGAGCACAATTCAAAGTGCTGGCTTTAGCCTATAAAGCCCCAAATCATTCCAGCCCAGGTTACCTGTCCGAATGTATCTCCTTCTACAGAATTTAAGATCATCTGGGGAGGCCCTGCTCTTGGTCCCAACTCTTTTGCAGGTACGACTGGCGGCGACGAGAGATAGGGCCTTCTCAGTAGTGGCCCCTTGGCTGTGGAATTCCCTCCCCAGGGATATTAGATCAGCACCCTCCCTCCTGACCTTCTGCAAGAGAGAAAATGTGGCTCTGGAAGAACAATTGTTGTTCGATAGATGAATATGGAATTATGTGCAATGACCACTGGAATGGCCCGGATTATGATTGCGGATAGCGTGGTTAAAAGTGAATGTTATGTTTTAATGTGTTTTAATTGTATCTTAAAATGTTTATTTTAATTGTACATTGTTTGAAGCCACTGAATAGTTGCCTATGTGTAAAGCCACCCTGAGTCCCCGTCAGCGTTGAGAAGGGCGGGGTATAAATATAGTAAATAAATAAATAATAAATAAATAAAATCTGCATTGTAGAGTTGATGTAGTTGGACATGATATTGATATTGTGGGATTCTGGAAGTTGTAGTTTTACCAGGGCTTTCACTGTCTGTGCTAAATGCCGCTGGTGCCTCCCCAAACTACAAGTCACACGATTCCATAGCATTGAGTCATGGCAATTAAAGTAGTACCAAACTGCATTAATCCAACAGTCTGTGCACCTATAGTCTTCTTTATCCAAGGTGAATGAACCTGTCCTGGAGAGGGAAGGAAGAAAAGGCACCTTACTTAAAGGTGTGCTGCCACGTTTCATTTTCCTTTTTTCTGTTTTGAAAGAGACCTAGAGTTCATCTCCACTGCTGAGTTAATGCAGTTTAACACAAGTTTAATATTATGGAATTATTACCATGATACTTATTTATATACCATTTTCTTGTCTTGACAGAGACTCAAAGTGATGAACAGTGCTGAAAAATAAATAGACTAAACAATATGAAACCTAAAGACTGTGCATAATAAAACAGAATTAAACCAAGCACTATTTTAAAAAAATAATAGTTTAAACTGTTAAACCTATTTAAAATACACAAAGCACCCCACAACACACACACACTGCAGCAATTCTGGGCGTTGCAGTTTTACAAGGTCTTTCACCCTCTGCTAAATGCATTTGGTGCCTCACCAAAGTACAACCCCCTTGATTACATAGCATTGAGCTATGGCAGCTAAAAGTGGTGTCAGATTGCATTAATCCGAAAGTGCGGATAGGCTCATCGTTGTCTTCTGCCTCATGAGAGACACTCTTTCCCAAGCTTCCCACAGACACCAGTAAAACTCATCTTTATACAAGACATGTTATGTACTCAGCATTGCCCGGGCATGTATATTCTAATGTTGTTTATTAGAATTACTAATTGTAATGAATGGGCCTATTAAAATGTATACCCACGTATATGTAATGGGACCTTTTATAAAATGGTATGTGATGAGTTGGAATTCCCATTACCCCAAGCCTGGTTAGGCTGGAATTACCATGACCTCTAGATGTGGTCAGGCTGATCTCCCATCATCCCTAGATCTGGCCAGCTAGAAGTCTCATCAGACCTAACTCATCACTGGTCTCTGGATTTTGCTCGACTCCAGCTGCTATCATCCTCTATTAGGCTCCACCGTTCTGACACCCTTTATATAACTGCAGTGAGATCTGTCGTTTTACACGGTCTTCATCCTTCACTGCCCAAATGCTAATACCTCACCAAACTATTGCTCACTTTATTCCATAGCCTTGAGCATTGGCTGTCAAAGTGGTGTCTAATGGCATTAATTCTATATTGTAAATCTACTGACTGCC